TATATCCTATGCTTTCAAGAAGCTAAGCGACAGAGCAGCATGACTTCTGGATCCCGAGAACTTCAGAGCGGCATCCACCACCTCTCACATTAAAGCCTGGAGAACCCTGCTAAAATCTTTCAATAGAAAGTACGCAAGGAGTGTTCTCACCTAGTTAGAGAGTGGTGTTAAACTAAATTTTGAGGGAACAATGCATCAGGATAAGTCGAAGAAGGATGAGGTCAGGATGATGGTAAAACCGGTACTCAAGGCATCACAGTTCAGAAGAGTTTTGAAGGAAACTAAACCTGCACCGTTAGCCATTCCTAACTACCAGTTACCAGCTCAGTTTGCTGATTTTGTGACCCACCACGTAAAGTTACTCCTAAACCAAGCAGTCATTTATGAAACTGATTCTCCAGTAGTCTGCAACCGGTTTTTGTCATAAAAAGTTCGAGAAAACTGTGTTTCATAATAGATCTGAGGTATGTCAATTTGTTCATTAGTTTCCCTGATTTTCACTACGAGTCCATTGACGATGTCACGGCAGTTATGGATGGAGGCCCACTGGAAGATTTTGCAGTAACCTTCGACATAAAAAATGGTTACTACCATATTCCAGTGCATGAGTCCTCCAGACCCTTTTTTACTTTCAAATGGGGAGGCAAAACTTTCCATTTTAACACTTTGTGGCAGGAACTCATGGCAGAATTGAGAACGAAAGGAATCATGATTTTTTCGTATATTGATGACAGCCTAGCAGTGGAAAGTAACTTTGCTAAATTCTTATGAAATTCCTATCTCATTTTGGTAATTTTTCATAAGATTGGTTTTTTCCCGAGCCCCAACAAATGTCAAGTCTTCCCAGCGTTATCAAACAAATTCTTAGGATTCATCATTGACTCTCATGAGAAAAGAGTAAAAGTTCCTGAAGACAAGATAGCAAAACTTTCAGTCCTCCTAAACAGTTGTCGCTCAGAATCCGAGCTCACGACTAAGAAGATTGTTTCCTTAGCAGGCAAACCAGTATTCCTTGGTAAGGTTTTTTTGCCTGCATCTTTGTAATGCTCAAACCTACATGCAGCACTAACGAACTATTCTTGGGAAGACAAGGTTAAGTTATCCGCTGAATTCAGAACAGACCTAGAATAGTGGGTTGAACACCTTCCCCACCTTCCGGGAAGGAATTGGAGAGTAAGAACTCCGCCAGCAAGGATTCAAACGGACGCCTCTGCAACAGGAGTAGGGGCAGTCTTATCACTAAGTACAGGGGAGACAATGCAAGTCAGCTTCGCACTGCCTTCAGAGTTTTTACAGCAGTCAAGCACTCACAGAGCATTGTATGCAGTTACTGAGTCACTTCTCATTCTCATAAAGAACGCACCACAGGAACTGATATCTTCCTCAGTAGAACGTGTGGGAGATAACCAGACAGTCTTCTACCGTGACCTGCTATCGAAGCTGAGATCAGCAGATATAATTTTTAACAAATTACTCAGACTAATAGTGGAGATCCTTATAACATGTGACTGCCAACTCAAACCAACCTGGCTTCCAAGGAGATTCAACACAGAGGCTGATTTGCTATCTAAAGAAGCAGACTTTTCAGATAGGGGACTGAATGAAAGAAAGAGCAGGAACTCTTCAAGATCTTTGGTGAACCGATCATCGACCTGTTTGCATCGGAGGAAATGCACGTCCGTGACAATTTTATCTCATAATTCTTCTCACCCAGATGTTTTTTCATGGATGCACTATCTTTGGACTGGTCAAACCTACCGTCCTTCCCATTCAGATGGGCATTTCCTCCTACCTGTCTTATCCAGCAAACCATCGCCAGGATCAGAGAATTCGGGGCAGAATATTTACTCATAATCCCAGTTTTCAAGAGAGCGAACTGGTTTCCAACTCTTCTGAGATTGAAACCTGTCAAGCAGATTTTCATAGCAAATGACTACTCAACCTGTGTGGCATCAAGCAGGGTACCAAGGGAAGTTTTTAATCCTGAGAAAGCAAGCCTAGTAGCGAGCAGGATTTCTATAAGCATCCTTCAGCGGTAGCCGTAACCGTACCGCATGAAGGATGAGAAAGTTTTTCAAGTACCCTGTCCCAGCATCTTTCCCAAGCTCCACCCCCTCTTGATTCCCTCCCGCACCACCTACTCTAAAGTTGTAACTACTCTCTCCTTCATAGATCCCAAGCTGCAACAGATAATTTTTTAATCGGCGATTAAACCATTCGAAGTCAGCACATCCTTAGTTTTGGTACTACGAAAGAACGGCCCACCATCTCGAATATCTATTGGAGGCTCAAGCCGGCCATAAACAATGCGAAGCTCTTCCATGAGCTCTAGAAAAAAAGTGTCTACTCCAGTTCGCTCTTGTAAGGATATCGCTCCCTGCCGCTCCTTTCTCAGAGTCTTAGTATAAGCTGGTTGGACCAGCCTTATATCTTCGTCAACCTTTTTTCCTTGTAACCGTAACCCCTCACCTCCCCCCTGCCAACTTTCCCAAAGGTAGTTCATTATGCACAAGTCACGAAGAGTCTCTGCATGACGGCAACCACTCTGCTCCTTCATTTTTTCTCTCAAGCCATGGTAAATTATCTGCATCTTTGCCTCAGTCATAGGAGGAGCCTGAAACTTAGCAACCCCATTTTTCAAAGCACAATTTTTATAAGCCCGACGATAGTCCTTCACTTTAGAACTTTTACAAGGATTGTGTGCCCCTTCTCGCCCAATAATCTGAAAGCATCGACTCAGGCAGCAAAAGTTAGACTCGACAGTGCTGCAAGCTGAAAAGGGTTGACCAAACTTGTCAAAGGTACGGCAGCGAGTACTCAATTCTGGAAGCCACTGTCCCTGGAAGAAAGCCAGCACATCCAGATCATTACAATCTCCAATGCTACGACCAACACAATTACGAGTGATCCATTCGTTCAAAAAATGCAACATTCGCCCTCTCTCTTGCTCGATGTTCTTGGAAAACCCGTACTCAACAATCAACTCTATGGAATCCTTCAAACCTTGTTCATACTGTCCATCTATAAGACTTCTTGATTGATGTTGAACAACATCTATGCTGCGATGAAAGAGCCTTTCCAACCACCATCTCCTGTTACACAAATGACAGAACTGCATTTGGTAAATGAAGGTGGGGGAAGATGGGATGGTTAGGAGGTGCATTGGTGGATGGCCCAGATTCCCAATTTCAAGAAAGTCTCAACTGTTATCTGATTAAAGGAATGCTTTATGATTGTAAATTGTTTACTGTCTTGTCAGTTT